CCCAGGTCCTTCTGGCATTCCCATGGTACTGGGTGGCACCCTTCGGACACTTTTGAAGAGGGGAAACTGAGTTATGGGAGGACCAGGGATGTGTCCAGGAGTAAGCGGGAAAGGAAAGGGAAGAGAGCTGGTGGAGGGAGGCACCAGCAGCACGGAGACTAGCGAGCTGCAGCCAGCTCGTGCCTCTGGGAACAGATTTATTGCAATATCCCAGTCCAGGCTGCCCCTCCAGAAACCCCAACTCCAGGAAAGACAGACAGGGACATAGACACGATGCTTCTGGGCTGGGCAAGGAGGAGGGACCTGTGGCAAGGGTGCCAAGATGGGGAGTGGGGAAGTCCTCCAGGACGAGGGGCCATAGGAGCTAGGGCTTTGAAGGATGAGTAAGGGTTTGCCCAATGGGGACAAGCCCCAATTGCAGTCCTCCCCCAGACTGAAGGGGCAAGAGGACTGAGGGAGGGGTCACCTCTTGTCCTTCCTGTCCCTGGGAATGAGCATGAAGCAAGTGCCTCCCTGAGGCCAGGAGCTCTGCAGGACGGAGGCTGTTAACACTGGGGACGAGCGTGCCTGGTGGGTGTCTGGGAAGCTTTGCGGAAAGGTGGGGCCCCAGGGCGTTGCCTGGACACTAGGATAATGAGCAGCATTTCCTGGCACCACCAAGGAAGCTGCCAGAAACACCCACACACCTTCAACCTAACTGCCTGCTCCTTGGATGATTGGAAGGACCCCCCGGTGGAGTGACTTTGGGCTACTCGTTGCTTCTCCTATCTGAGTCTCAGATTCCCCTTCTGCCCCACCCCAGCCCTGGGGATACTGTGGCCTTCAGCTACAGATGGAGGTGTAGCCTCAATCCCTCTTGCTGCAGTTCAGACTGGCCTGGCCCCTAAGGAGGAAGGTTGCTCCCTTCCCCCAACAATGAGGACTCTCCAGGATCTGGACATTGTCTGAGGGCTTGGAAGGGAACCGGCCAGTCCCCATCAGGGCAGTGTGGGTGGCACCTGAGATGCCAGCAGGTGTGAAACTTGGCTGGGTGCCGGGGTTAGGGCAGGGCAATTCTCTCCTGGGTCATTCTGCCTCCTCCGCTTCCACGTGCCTCACTGCAGCCCACCGTGTAGGTGCCGTTCGCTCTCCCTCCGGTATCTTAGCAGCAAGAACGCAGCAGCACTGAGGGCGTGTACCTGTGTGTGCCTCTGTGTGATGAGCCTGCAGCCAGAATGCAGAATCACACTACTGAATGAGCCTGGTACTGTTTAAGTGTGATCATGTTTGAGTGTAATGTAAATTGCCCAAGTGTGGAAGTGCACGAGGGTGAAACACACTAGCATGCCCGCAGGGTGGTCTGCAGATGTCATAACGCACGAGTCTAAAAATGCCCAAGTGCGGGAGTGTGAAACAGTAGTGTGTGAGTGTGGTAATGCTCAAGTGTGTATGTCACGTTCAGGTACGTGCGTGTGACATGTGTGATTGTGTGCGAGTGTATGTGTAATGTTTGAAGATTAAGGATGAAAACGTCCAAGTATCTGATAACGTTTGAGTAGGAGTGTGAAAACACCCTAGTGTGTAAGTATGATCACGTTAGGATGTGTGAGAACTCCCAAATGTGTGTGTGATAGTGTGTGAATGTGAGGGTTTCAATGTATGTGAAAATTTCCAAATGCATGACTGTGAGTATGAGAACACTGAGTGTGTAAATGGGATATTGTCTGAGAGTGTGTGAGAACACCCATGCGTGAGTGGGACCCAGTGTGCGCAAGAACAAGCATGCTGGGTGTAGGTAGGTGTCAGCCCCAAATGCGCTGTGAGGCACCCACCTCCCCACATCTAGCGCCTCCACTACACAGGCACACCTGGCCCCTCCCCGTGCCCTCCGCCACACCCACGTCACCCTCTCAGGGTCAGGTCCGTGCCAGAGACAAACCAGTTGGGTGACCCCCTTACAGAAAGGCCCATTGTTAACAGATGCTTATCAGCTGGCATGCTGGGCCCCTCCACTGTCAGCCCCCTGCTTTCCTGTTCCCCCATCAGAGCTCTGGTGGGGTGACCGCTTCAAGGCCGCAGGGGGAGGGGTGGGGGAACTCCTCTGGCCAGGCCTTGTCTTGGCTCTTGTCTCATCCATCCTTTCAGCCCCCTCTTAAGCCCTAAGGAGAGACAGAGGATCACAGCCTGGTGCTGTGCAGGGGCCTCGTTCCAGCGGGGGCACTGAAGCACGCTACTCCAAGCCCCGGTGTGAGCAAGCAAGGTGTTGGGGTCAAGAGAAGACAGATTCACCTGCGGTCTTCAGCCTGGGTGGGTTTCCCTGCCATCTCCCTCTACTAGGGATGGAGGCCCGAGTTCCAAACTCAGCTCTGTGACCTTGGGTTAGTCATGTTACTACTCTAGGCCTCAGTTTCCCCATCTGTGAAATGGGGGTAAAAATTGTTGTGAGGTTGAAATGACTTAATATGCATTGTTTATAGAACAGGATCTGTCAGATAGTAGGTGCTCATTAAGAATAAAGGGGGTTTCCCTAACTGGTGTGACTCAGTTGTTTGGGCGTGCTCCCTCAAAATGAAAGGTCGCAGGTTTGATTTCCAGCTGGGGCACATGCCTGGGTTATGCGTTCGGTCCCCGGTTGGGCATACGAGAGGCAGCCAATTGATGTTGATAGCTTACATTGGTGTTTCTTTCCCTTTCTTTCCCTCCCTTCCTCTCTAAAAGTAAGTAAAATCTTAAAAAAAAAAAAAAAAAAAAAGGAATAACGCTGGTTGCCCTGGCTGGGTAGCTCAGTTGGTTGGACCATCGTTCCATGCACCAAAAGGTCGCAGTTTCAGTTCCCAGTCAGGGCACATACCTAGGTTAAGGGTTCGATCCCCCCACTGGAGCGTGCGTGGGAGGCAATCAAATGGTGTTTCTCTCCCACGTGGATGTTTCTCGCTCTCTCCCCCTGCTCCCTCTCCCTCTCTAAAATCAATAAAAACATATCCTTGGGTGAGGATTAAAAAAAACTTTTTTTAAAGACTAAAGGGGGTGCCCTGGCGGGTTAGGTCAGTTGGTTAGAGTGTTACCCAGATATGCCAAGTTTGCGGGTTCCATCCTTGGTCAGGGCACATACAAGAAATGACCAATGAATGCGTAAACAAATGGACCAAAAAAATCAATGTTCCTCTCTCTCTCTCTCAAATCAATATATAATTTTTTTTTTTAAAGAGGATAAAGCAGTGGCTTTGGGCCCCTGATAAATGGGCTGACCTGTGCTTGCTGCACAACCTTGAGAATGAAATATTCTCCCTGCAGGCCCCACACAACCTGCCCTGTCACGTCCCCTCCCTCACTCTGCTCCAGTCACAGGGACACCCCCCTGCTCCTTCCACAAGGTGGGCCTGGTCCTGCCCCCAGGCCTTTGCAAGTGCTGTGCCCTCAGATGTCCAGGCTGGCCCAGGGTTTGTTTACATGCCCCTGTGTCTGGGAGCTCATTCTCTACCACCATGACCGACGGTAATAAAAATCGTGATACCAAATAGTCGTGGCAAGTCCTTGGAGTGACTCCACAGCTTTTGCTCCTAGGCACAGCCCAGCCCAGTCCAGCACATGTGTTGTGCCTGGTGTTAAAGAACCTGCATTGGAATCTCAGGTCCTCTTCTAGCCAAGTGCCCTTGAACAAGCCCCTTTCTACCTGTTTGGTGCCTCAATTTCCTCAGCTATAAAATGGAGATAATAGTGCCTCTCTCCTGGGCTCAGCAGGGGGTCTCGTATAGAGCAGGCACTTAATAAATACCCTTTGTTACTGCCTGGTGGTGTACGTCCTGTGCGGGTTTATCCGTGAGACGGGAGCGAGCACGGCGTAACCACGCACCGCAGGGCCTACGCAAATCACACGCAAATGAAATGCAAATAACTGCTCTGCGCCTGGGCGAGCAGCCTGCCCGCAGAGGTGCGCCCATGGGGGCGTCCGGCACCCGCGGCCCAGCCCAGTTGCTGATCCGCGTCCAGCCCGGCTTTCAGCGCTCTGTGTAAATGTTTACACCGGGCCTGTCGCCAGGCCCCGCGCGGGCCGGCACCAGGCAGCCGGGTGGGGGAATGTAAACGAGGGCCAGGGGCCGCCAGGCAGCAGGGAGCTGCTCTGACACGGTTGTGGGGGGGGCGGTGCACGAGGCTAATTAAACACTGTGCACACTAAGCACAACGCTCCCAGGCCGTCACAGCACCAAGTAATGGGTGTTCTAATGGGGAACACTCAGGGCCTGGGTTAGGGGGCAGTCAGGGAAGGCTTCCTGGGGGAGGCGCTGGTCCAAGAGACCTAATGGCAGTGGGGAGGGAGAGAAAAGAGTGTTCTGGGTGGAGGGACCTGCTTGTGCAATAGCCTGGAAGTGGGTCGAGAGCTGCTTTGGTTCATTGCAGCCTATTTTTGGGAATCAGTTTACCTGCCTAGAGTAAACCCTGGCTTTCAAAGGGGCAGGAAGTCACTCCCAAGGACATCTTAGTTAGGGGACAAAGACTCAACCCCAAGGTTCCTGCCTCCCAGACTGTATTCTAAGCACTGCGTCTCCTGGCCACCCTTTGTCCCACAGGGCCCCCTACTGGGAATGCCTTCATCTTTTACTCTTTCCCTAAACGTACTAAGCTCCTGGCTGGATTGGCCAAGCTTGGTTCAGCCTCAGTACCTTTGCACTGGCTGTTCCCATGCCTGAGATGTCACTCTCTTCTGCCTGGCCAGCTGCTACCTTTGTTCAAGTCTCATTCAAGTCTCAACTTCCCTAAACTCTCAGGAAGGCACTCTGGGATCCCCAGGTGGGTCAGTTCCCCTGATACCTCTGGCACAGCACCCACCCCCTCCTTAGCAGTGTTGTTCACAACCATGTTCAGTGGTGCCTTGTTAAATCACATCTGTTATTACTGATCATTAAGCAGCAGTGGTTCAGAATCAGGGGCCCCACTGTGTCCCCCAGACCTGGCTCAGTACCCCATGCCTGTTTGTTGCCTGGAGGACTGAGGCCGTTGGGCTGACCATCCCGTGCCCACAGGCTGAGGATGCAGCGCTGGAAGGCAGCGGCCTTGGCCTCGGTGCTCTGCAGCTCTGTGCTCTCCATCTGGATGTGTCGGGACGGCCTGCTCCTCAGCCAACGCCTCGGACCCGCACTAGCCCCGCTGCGCCGGCCACCTCGCACCCTGGATGCCCGGATCGCCCGCCTGGCCCAGTGTAAGCGCCTCCCCTGCTCTTAGGTCAGATACCCCAACATAGGGGTGGCCATACTGGTGGAATTTCAGGCAGTGCAACGGGGCCACAGAGGCTTTTTAAAGATGGGGTGGACGGAGGATGCGAATCCCCCAGTGGCCTGGCAGGGGGGGATGGCTCCTGGGAACTGGGGTCTCTTGGCTCAACTGTCACAAGGAATTAAGCTCTGTCCCTCGGGGGCCAGGGGGCCAGATGGAGATTAGACCTAGGAACTCAGCCGGGTGGCCCCCCACAGCACAGTGTGGGGAGGGGGAGCTGGACTGGAGGCCCCAGTGACCTGCATGGGTCGATAGGGACCAAGAAGAAGGAAGACAGAGAGAGACCTAGAAACAGAGACAGAGAGGCATGGAGACAAACAGGCAAGGGTGGGAGAGACAGATGTGGAAAAGAAGGAGGTAGAGAAGTGAAACGCCCACCTGGGGAATGAGGCCACTGGATCCAACTCCCCATTTGCCTCTGGCGTCTGTCCTCTAAGTTCTGCGTGGGCCCTGACCTCGTGTGTGCACGCACATGTCCACACGGTGTGCTCGAGTGGGCGGTTGGGATGTAGGTGCAGGCCTGGCGCATGCACGGTGCCTGCGGCTGGCGGCTGCACGCGCACCCGCCCTGCCAGACCACACAGTCCTTCTTTCTTGTCTTCACAATGGACAAGGGTGGCCTCCGGCAAGGACTTTACTTCCGCCCCCACCACTTGCCTTTGCAGACCACAAAGTCCTTTCCAGGATACTGGATCCCACAGACTGGGGTGGGGCCCCCAAAAGCTAGCGCTCCAGGTTCTGGGAGCAAACCACCAATGATGGAATCCATCGCTGGATGGGAAGTGCCTCAGCCCATGGGGGTGCCTGCCAGCCCAGTGTCCTCTCCCTGTGCCCAGCTGTACTGGGGGAAGGGAGTGGCTGCTGATCCCCCCAAGGCCTAATGTTCTAGTGAGCTGATGGTGGAATTTCAGGCTTAGGGTGGGGGGAGGGCAGGGAGCAGACCTCATCTCTTTGCGTTCCAGACCCTGTGCACGTGGCCAGGCCTGCTGGAGGGATGCAGGGACGGATATACTAAAAGATTATTCACTGTTTATCTGAAATTCAAATTTAACTGGGCATCTGTATTTCATCTGGCAGCCCCCCAAATAGCTCTCTAGATGCACACCCCAAGGTGTGCACACTAAATGGTGCAATTGTAGGCACCAGAAGTAAGCCAGGCTCAAACCTAAACCCAGAGCAGACAGTGCTGGCCATCCCAGTCCTCCTCCTGGGCTGCAAGACCTCAGAAAAGGCTGCTTGGTCGCCCCCCCCCCCCCCCCGCACTTTCCACCCTCCCAGCCACAACCACAGCAGGGACTCTCTGCACGCTTTGCAAGCAGCACTGAGCAGACGGGGGAACAGGCACAGCAGGGCGGGCACCTGCCTGAAGTTGTACAAGGACAGCGGCAGAGTTAGGCTCAGAACCTGGGCTCATCTGTTTTCTAAGATCCCCTGTGGAAACAGACATCCCCAAGGCGACAGGCAGTCTCTCCCCCTCAGGCTTCCCAGTAAACTACTTGACAGCCAGGTGTGCTAGCCTTGGGGGCAGGTGGGGGCTAAACTCAGGATTTCGTCTCCTTACCACAAGCGTGACTGCAACCTGTCAGCGCCTGGGAGCCTCCCAGCAGCCCTTCCAACACCTGTGCTTCTCTCTTGGGGCTGTGGAGTGTACCAGGTCCTCAAATAAAGTTATTTCCTCAAACATAGTTTTGTTACAACGATGAGATGCCTTAGGAACTTAATTAACTCTTCTTAATGTCAATTAGCCTTTGGTAAATTTGGTGTCATTCTTTGGTGTTTCGCCACAGTTCCAAGAACCTACTGACGATGTACAGTAGAGACTTACTGTACTGGGGCAGGGCCAGTCTCTTGGGAATAAATTTAGGTTATGGGACCCTGAGATTCTGTGATTCTGGCCACCTCCCGGCCGCTGTTGGAGAGGAGGGCTGAACTTAGGCCACATCTGGGCACTCGACAGAGGCGGGAAGAATGCTCTCTGAGTTTATGTCTCTTCCTGGCACCTGCTGGGGGTGTGGCCTTGGCCAAGTCTCTGCTCTTTTGGATTCTTAGTTTCCTTACCTATAACATGGGAGTGGCCCTGAGAGTAGCTGCTGCCACTCCACGTCCTGGGGTCCCCACAGAGGCCTCACACATAGGCCTCAGTGCCGGCTGCTTCTCTGTGTGTTCTGAGAAGCCCAAACACCTCAATTTGGATTTCTGGGTGGGGAAACTGAGTCCCACTGCACAGTGGAGCAGCAGGGACAGGGTCAAGGGTTGTAAGCAGCCCACGGACTCAAAGAAGATGTAGGGGCTTTGGGTGGGGGACCCCAGAGAGTAAGGCAGAGATCCATACAGCTCAACTAAATGGTGAGGGGTTGGGGTGGGGGAAGCAGCACTCCAACACTGGTCAGTGTGTGTCAGTACCCTGGGGCAGCCCAGCATAGGGATGGGATCCACAGACAGTATTGGAGGGGGTGCCCAGAGTGTCTGAGACACCCAGATCAGCTTGGCTCAGGTGGGGCAGGCTGGAAAGTGGTCCAGGGCACCCAGGGAGGGTTAGCCAGACTTAGAGCAGCTCAGCACAAGGGCAGGGTTCAGAGAGAGGTATTGGTAGCCTTGGGGGCCAAGCGCGGGGTTCTGGATATGCACCCCTCCGACACCACCCTGGCAGATGCGCTAGTGCCCTATCGTCCACGCAAGGGTCATTTTTTGCAGAGGCACATCGAGGGTAGGGGGCTCCCTCCCGCCACCCGCTGACCCTCCCACCCCCTTCTCTCCCTCCCCTCGCAGACCGTGCACTGCTGCAGGGCGCCCCGGATGCCGTGGACCTACGCGAGCTGACTCCCTGGGCCGGGCGGCCCCCGAGTCCGCGCCGTCGGACCGGACCCCGGCGGCGGCGTGCGCGTGCGCGGTCGGGGACGCGGCCGTGCGGGCTGCGCGAGCTCGAGGTGCGCGTGAGCGAGTTGGGCCTGGGCTACGCGTCGGACGAGACGGTGCTGTTCCGCTACTGCGCAGGCGCGTGCGAGGCGGCCGCGCGCGTCTACGACCTGGGCCTGCGGCGCCTGCGCCAGCGGCGGCGCGTGCGGCGGGAGAGGGTTCGCGCGCAGCCCTGCTGCCGCCCGACGGCCTACGAGGACGAAGTGTCCTTCCTGGACGCGCACAGCCGCTATCACACGGTGTACGAGCTGTCGGCGCGCGAGTGCGCCTGCGTGTGACCCTACCTCACCGGCCCTGGCCAGACGGCGGCCACTTCCCGTGCTCGGATGGCACCCACAGCCCCCCCCCCCCCCCGCGCCCCCCGGCAAACCCCGCGACAGACTGCCCAGACGCAAAAGATGCTGTCGAGGCCTTGGGACTCATGCGATAACTGTACAGAGATAAAGTGCGGAAAATAGAGCCGGGTGTGGATTGTGCGCACCAGGGGTGTCCACCTCTTGGAGGGGCAGGAGGACGTGTAGGGAAGCGGCGCCATCTCCACTGGGAAAGTGGGGATGGATGCGGGTATCACCTGCAGGATGGCGGGAAGATCCCACTTGCTTTGGGGGGAAAGGAAAGATTCAAAGAGTGTCCTGTTTCTGGGGTACAAATGGGGAAGGGCGAATCAGAGCCATGGCGGCAGGGACCGTCCATCCCACCTCCCTGCAGGTCTCTGTGCTCCTCCCCAGCGTGTCCCATTCCAGCAAGATGTGCTTCTGGAGGGAGATGGAGTCACAGTGTAGATGAGGAGACAGGTCCAGCTGGACCCAGCCTCCCCAGCGTGTCCACATCGCCACCTCCACAGAGTGTGCACTTCTGGAGAGGGAAGCGGGAGCATGGAGGTTGGTAGAGGAAGGTGGAGTCACTCTGCAGAGGAGACCGAGCGTGCCTCACCTGACGGGCATCCTCAGGCCGGGTCAGCCACCAAGAGAGTGATCTCTAAGACGCTATCCCCTTTTACTAGCTAAAAATGTTCGAGCGCTGCCCATCTCCCAGGGGGGATAGGTCTGGGGAGGGCGCCAGCCCCGACCAGCCCGAAACCGGCGCCTGCTGAGGCAGATCTGACCCCAAGAGATCTAGGTCCTGGCCCAGAAAAACCCTGGCCAAAACTCGAGGGGGGATTTATGACAAGCCCCTGCGGAGGACGGAAAAAGCGCTGGGCGGGGTTTAGATTTGCCCGCGGTGTCACCTTGATGCTTGGCAGGCCCGCACAAGGGCGCAGAGTGTTGAGTTCCCAGGGCACAGGGAGGGATCGGCGGGTCTCAAGGTCTGAAAAGGGGCGGGTGAGGGGGCGGGCACTGCGAGCTCGGGGCTGGCATCTAAAGACTAGAGGGCGTGGACCCTTCCCCTTCCAGCCCCTCAGACTGGAGGCTCCCAAAGGAACATCCCTTTCCCTCCTTTACTGTTTCCCTAGACTGGCCCCATCCCCTCTTTCCCACACATCTCAGTTCAAGACCACCCTCTAACCACCACATCCTTTCCAGACCCAATCCGGGTCCAGAAGCTGGAGGGCTCCAATCAGAAGCTGCCCCCAAGGAGGATCACGTAGCCAGGCGGAAATATCCAGCTTCCTGTTCCCCAGAGTCCCGGTTGTAGCTAGAGAAACTCGAGGCAGCTAACAGGCAGGACTTACATGGAGCTCCAAGAACATGGCTTGGCAGCCAGGCCCCAACCAGTGGGTGGTCTGCTTGGAAGACAGTTTCAGGATGGAGGTTGGCTGGGGTCCCTGCCCACCCCCGCGGTATTCTGTCTCTGAGGTTTGGGGGGGAAAGATTCCTCCATTGTTTGGGCTGACTCAGCCTGGTGTGGCAGAGAGGCTGGAGTCCCCAGACACTGTGGAAGCAGAGCCTCAGTTTCCCCATCCTAGATGACCCGGACCCCCAAAGAGGGACGTTGCTGAGCTCAGGACATGCAGTGGAAAAATTGGCCTTGGGGCTTGCCTTTGTAGTCCCTGAAGCTTGGCTGCCTCTGTGTGTGTGTGTGTGTGTGTGTGTGTGTGTGTGTACACCCTCCCTCAGCCTCGTGGGACCTTAGCCTCCGTATCTCCCACCCAGATCCAGCATCCCAGCCACAGAGCTCTGGCTTAGCCCGCTAAATAATTGAAATGTAAACAGAGCGCCCCAAAGACCCCTGGGGCGGAGGCTCTGGGTCTCTCAGTTCATGTCACATACACACACAAGGCACAGAGACTACCACCCACACGGGGCTTAACACAATCACACCCAGACCCACAGCCCACATGCCCACATGCTCAGTTGTTATTCACACTCGGAATTGCACACTCAGAGAAGGGCACCCTCAGAATCACCACTCATTCAAAAAACAAGGACACAGGTTCACATGTTCCGTCACACAGCCATGCGCAGCGGCGCTGACACTCAGGTGCTAAGCCCTGCGTGATCTTCACAGGCCACACACACAGCATCACATGCCCCCTTGCCCTCCTTCGAGGGGTGGTCCCTGCCCTTGGGCCACCCCTACCTCATGTTGACTCCAAGATAGCCTGGCCCCCACTTTCTTGTCCCTCTGGGCTTTCCTCTCCCCACTCTCCAATGGGCTTGATCTCAAGTTTTCCACCTCTTGACATTTGTGGCCAGACTATTCCGGGTTCAGGGGGCCATGAAGGACTTCGGGCAGCATTCCTGACCCCTCACCCACTTGATGCTGTCAGTCCACTCCAAATCTTGACGACTACAAATGTCCCCAGACATTGCCTAGTGTCCCCTGGGGGACAGAGTTGCCCTGAGTGAGAACCTCTGTTCTAGAATAAGGGAAGACACGTCAGCTTTCGTTGGAGTGTTCCCATCTTGGAAATGGTGCCAATGTTGCCTCCTCGCCTGTCCCACAGGCAGTCCCGCCACTGATAATAACCACAGGCAGACCCAGCAAAGCCATCACTAGTGGGAGGGGCCTGAGGCCAGGCAGCAAGTGCCTTGGTGGGCGAGGCCCCCAGCACCCAACGTCCCCAGCAGGTGAGGCCCCTCGCAGGTAAGCTTCCCAGAGCCCAGACTCCTGGCAGCAGAGGCGCCCAGTAGGTGAAGTCCGAGGTAAGTGAGATCTCCAGCAACCAAGGTCTGCAGCAGGCGAGATTCCTAGCAGGCGAGGTCCTCAGCATGTGAGACAACCCCCTCCCCCGCCCCTCCAGTAGGTGAGGCCCCTGGCAGGTGAGGTTTCTGAAAGCAGCAGTGGCTGACAGGTGAGGCGCCAGGCTGGCCGGCTCATGAGAACCAGGAGGCTATGCTGGTCACTGGTTGCAGCTGGACTCCTGGTGCAGCCTCCAGCAAGCCTTGCAAAACATCAGGGCCCAGTGGAAGGATGGAGGCTGCATCTCCTGCCAGTGGAAGTAACTCAGGGAGTGGGCGTGGTCTTCGTCCACTACCAGCAGATACTGGGCCTGCTCCTTGGGGCTCTGGAAGTCATAATGTGGGTGAGGGTGTCGGGCTAGTTGTTGCTCCTCCTGCTGGGGCTCAACACCATGGCCATGGGCCAGGCCTGCAGGGCATTCTTCCACGGCTTCTCCATGATGCACTTGGGGTGCAAGTTCTCAAAAGCCAGGTAAAACTAGTTCTGGGACAGCCACTCGGTCATGACCACTGGGGGCAGTGGCTTGTGGGATCACCTGTACACGTCCACTTTGAGATGAACTTGTAGCATCTGGTCATATCCTTCCTCCAGTTGGACAACCATCCGGCCACCAGCTCGGTCCTGGCTGAGAGGTTGACCGGTGCGACGGCCGGCCGGCCGGCCATGGCTCAAACCAGCCCTACCACGTGATGTCCGCGTCTGTGTGGTAGGACATGGTGAGATTGAAGTACCCGTACAGGACCGTCAGTTGTGGATAGTGGCTGGGCAGTTCCAGGCTGAACTAGACCCAGTGCTGGCTGGACGGGTTGGGGCCAGGCGGAAGCTGCGCCTGCACTGGTAGCTGACCCCTCAGGGATGCATGGGAGCCGCACCCACCCACAGGCACATGCTGCGGTTGACAGCCGGCTGGCGGTCGGCTGTGCAGGGCCACAGCTCTGAGCAGAGCTGCAGGGTGTTGGACGTCCATGTCCACAGCAGAAGAAGCTGGGGCAGGTGGGCAGGGGGCGCCGAGGCGGCCCGGCAGGGTCCCTTCAGAAGACATTGGCCCTGCCCACCCTCTGGGAGCTCTGGCGAGAGAGTCCATTGTTGACTTAGAGGACCCATGTGGGCCTGTGGGACACGCGCAGGGAGAAGAAGCACACGGCCAGAAGCAGCTGCAACAGCACCCCAAGGAGACCATGGCACCGGGGACATCATGTCATGGCCCAGCCGAGTGAATCCGTGGGTCAGAGCAGCTGGGAGGTGGGAAAGTGGAGACAGCATCATTAGTGACAGAAATAATAGCCCACGCCTAGGGGTGCATGCGGGTCCCCAAAGTCAACATTCACGGGTCCTGAGATAGGCACTGGTGTGATTCCTGTTTTACAGATGAGAAAACTGAGGCCGGGTGACTCAGACTGAGGAAATGGCAGAGCTGGAATTCCAACAAAGGCAGCCTGACCCCAGGCCGCTTTCTCCTGCCCGCTAGGCAACACGACCTCTCCACCTGGGAGGGGCCCCCAGGGAAGGTGGGGTAGGTTCCCACAGCTCCCAGGTCCCACCTTGACCCTTTCTCAACTTTCTTAGACTCTTCCCTGTTTGGGGGAGAAGACAGAGTTAGTTATAAGAGGCTTCCAGTGCCCTGGAGTTGAGGCTTAAATCCAGGGCTCTGTCTGGGAGGGGTACAGTAGGATTGGGTTTTGAAGGTTATGTAAGAGCTCACCAGGTAGAGTAAGAGTCAGGGGGATGAATGTTCCTGGCTGAAGAAACAGCCAGTGCAAAAGCCTGGAGGTGAAACAGAGCCTGGCCCGTCTGTAGGGAGAGCCAACAAAGTGCTCAGGGATGCAAGTGTGAACTTGATTTTATATTTACTTGGTGTTTCACGTTTGATAAGTGCTCAAAAACAGCTCCTCTGGGTCTGTGCTGGCTGACTTTTCTCCATTCCTTGTCTTTCCTGTCTCCACCAGTGGTCACAAAAGTCCTCTCAGACCCCAGATCCCAGACCCCAACCACGGGAGCAGAAATCTACCACCTTGGGTGTGTAGCCCTGGAGCTGCCCATTTCACAGATGAGAAAACTGAGGCCCAGAGAGACACATCTGTCTCTTGCCTAAATACACACAGCTAGAGCCAGTATGATCCAGAACCTCAACTCTCCCCTCTCAACGTAACCCCAAACTTCTCTCCCACTTTGCAGGTGGAGCTCAAATCTACAGCCCAGCATGGCC